AACAAAGCACATCCAAGAATCTGTTCCACTCATTAAAAAAAAAAAAAAAAAAAAAGCTAGTAAGGCCAGCAGAGGGGCTGAAGCCAAATGTAAGAGCTAACTGCTATTTAATTGGAGTTATAGTATTTTAGATCAGGTTTAAGTAGGTTTGAATTCTAGCTATTTGACATGAGTGCAAATAATTATAAGGCAATTAGGATCAGATAAGAGACAGGGATAGCAACCTGATATTATGTTATTGAAATAGAGATTCAAGTCCTTTTGGTGGAGCATTACCCAAATTACTTCAGGAATGTTAGATATTTTAAGATTATAGAGAAGTTATCAATCTAATTTATCTACCTATTATTCAGATTATTTTAAGTGCACTTAATTGTGTTTTCATTGATTTTCTCATTTCTTCTTTTTAGAGATAAAGTATCTCCTGTTATATTTTAGGCTCTTGGTTTAAATTACCTTCATTAGAAATTTTGGAGAAATATAGTCTTCTTTTATTTCTTTATGAATAAAATAGTCTCAGAGCAAGAATCAAGGATGGTCACAAAACAGTCCAAGGAGAAAATTCTAGTACCTGCCAGAGGAATGTGTACAGTGAACACTTTTGAATTCTCCCAGACACAGCGTAGGAATCTTGGCGCTAGGTTTTCTGCCTGGAATAGTGAGGTTTATGCTATTTTACCTCATAAGAAATGGCATCTGCACTGTACTCATGGGTGTACCATGACCTTAAGAATGTGTCAGATCTACTGCCTAATTGTAAATTAAGCATATTGTAAAAGTAGTTGTGATGGCATGTACCAACATATTTTAAAGTTTTCTTAAAAAAAAAAACCCTGCAAAACTTATAAATGGAACAGGAAAGAACCTTGACCACTGACAAGGACATACTTCCAGGCAAATACAAAATAAACACATGAGATCATTCGTGCACGTGTGTGTGGGGTGTCATGAATATATCACTGAGCGCACTTTTACATTATCTTTGGTCGAGGAAAGCTTTTTTTGTACAAGATCCATAATTCCAGAAACACCTGAACTCCCCTCCCCGCAGTTCCCTTGGCCAGTCTGTGTGGCAGAGTCTCAAGTTCTTTAACCATCACTGCTCTTCTTGGGCATCCCTAGAACCCCTTTCTGACAATGGTATTAACTATTGGAGAATTCTGTGGTTCTCAGTGTCAAGCAGCTACCTGAAAAGAGGCAGAAAATATGAGAAGATTATAGGAAGTCATGCCCAGTTTTCTCATCCCTCTTTTACATTATCTTTGATTGTAGAACGCTTTTTATGAACCAGTTAACATTAGGTTCAGGTACCAGTGACAGAAACCCAAACCTGCCAACTTAAAGGGGATAGATCATTTCTTTCTCTTTCCTATGAAAACTTCAAAGTAGTCAGCCAAGGGCTAGAGGGAAGGGCAGGCCACCTGTGTTCTATGAAATCTTTAGTAACTCAGATTCCTCAAATTCATGCTCTCTTAGCCTGAAGGTGACCACAGACCTAGATTGGTAGCTTTCATATGCCAAATAGCAGAATAGAATTCGGAAATGAAAAGAAAGAAAGACTTGTGCCTGCTGTCTTGTTAAGGCAGAAGCTGCCTTCTTCTGCTTTCATTTGTATCTTACCGGACAGAATGTGACCATAAAAGGGTCAGGGCTTTAGCTCAGTGGCACTGTGCCTGCTTTGAAAGAGCAAAGTCCTGAGTTTGATCCGTGGTACAGGAAAAAAACAAAACAACAACAACAAAAAAAACTGGAGAAGAATGTGGCCATGTAGCTCATACCAAACTGCAAGGGAAGCGGGGAGATGTGATCTTTTTGCTGAGTGGACATGGTTGAACTGAATGATAAATGACATAGAATAAGAGGAGAATAAATATCGGGAGAAGGTTTATGAGTGCGTCTTTCCCACTGTAAGGATACCATAACTTTGGTGCATCACATTTGATAGCCGCCTGTGGAAGTACCTGGAGCAGAGGGGTAGATGTGACGTTGCAGCTGTAGGTAAGAGTGTGGAACCTGGGGTCTCACTGCTGGAGTTGGAAGCCTGGATTTCTTCAGATGGAAGAGGGAAATAGTATTAGTACCACTCCCTTCCAGAGCGGTAATGACTATGTGAAATATTCAGTGTATTGATCACAGTATCTAACACTTCAGAAGTACTTGATTATTGTTATTAACTCTTATCAAAAGTATAAAGTAAAATATTTTGAGCTCCCAGATGCATGTAACTTGTTCGGAGGATATGTTCACTTTGCTTCCCGAATGTGATTCAGAATGGTTTTCATTTCTAATTGCATTTTTCTACTTTTAAAGATAAGCTGAAATGTTTGTGCTTAGTTGGGGCTAGAGGTTGATCCTAACAAATTATGTGGATGGTTTCCTTGAATTTTCCATGGGATCTGCACATTTCACTGACGTCTCTCTGTAAGTGTTTATTCACAGCGATTCTGATGGAAACTACAGTTAGACGAGGGTTGATGGGATAGTTCTTCCCACTGTTGTAACAGCGTGGGCTCCGGGCACCACATCAGAAGGAGAAAGCCATCCTTGACCAAGCTTGGGTGGATGAAGTTCAAAAGTGGCAGTGTGGAGTGCATTTGTTTTGCTTATCTGTAAAGGGTGCACAGCTCTGACTTGCAGCACATACGTCAGTAAAAATGTGAAAGTTTGGCCTATTTGTTCAGAGATGGCAATAGAAGAGTGGGTGGCGTGAAAACATGCGTACTATTCCAACTTGGATGTGACAATTTTCTTATGATCACAGACAGCAACATTAGTTGTATTGAGACAACTTTTGCCGATTCCTAAATGTTCTTTTGCTTCTCTTTTTCTTTCTTTCTCTAAGCCCCCTCTTTGTTCTGTGGCTTTTCTTTTGTAACTCCTCCAGACTACAGCTTTGTTCCCCCTTCTTCCACTCCTTTCTGGTCAGGTACTGCTTTACTGCTTTTCTGTGTCTCCTCACCATGCTTCTGTTCACAGATAAAATATATCTTGACTTCTGTGTGTGGCCTCTCGTGTAGATGCCTCTCACAGACAGTCCCTAGAGTACCATTGCCACCATGCACTTTACTCGTCTTGTCACAGTTGTTCATCATAACATTTCACGTCTCTAGTTTGTGTGTATGTGTGCTCGTGCCATGTATTTTAATAACACATTTTATAATGTGTCTGTGGGTAGAGGCTGAGTGGGCTGGGGGCTGAAAGTGTGAAGACAGATGAAATACTCTGCAAAACTAACTTTTGGGGGGACTCTAAATTTTAGCTGAGAAAAGGCAATGTTTATTTCCACGAAGAAAATAAAAAGGACCAAAATCCAAACTTTATCTCCAAGTAGAAGAGTAAAATCCAGTAGATATTGTTTGAAAGGATTTCAGGTGCCCATCAATTCTACAGCTCTCCCGTTTGTGCCCTGGCATTTTGGTCTTCATTTGTGTCATTAACTAGAGAGTTTAGTGGCTGTCTATGTGGCTTGAGAGAACTACGTTATGGCTAGGTAAAGTATGTTTTCTTACAGGTTTTAAAAAATTAACCTGTAAGTCCCAATGGAATCCTAGAATTTGGAAATAGATGTAAGAAATCAGCTAGTACAAACCTCTCATTTTATAGATAAGAAAAATGTGGACTGGAGGGGTTAAAAGGCCCTTGCAAGGTCCTACAGTGAAGCTAATGATTAGATTTTTTTCCATCACAGGAGTTTTTATGTGCACTGACTCTAAGAGCAGAGTGCCCCAGAAATGGGACAGTTTTCAGTAAGAAAACCATTAAAGTGGTTTGTGTCCTGAGCAGTAAAGTAAAATGACCTATTTTTATTCCCTTTACAGTTGTGAAATCTGTGGCATTGCTATGCGTTTGCCTTATGATCGACACCTGGAGACTAAATAAATTTCTGTCATTACAAAGCCATGATTAATAGGCCAAAGATCCCTGTTGCCAAGTGGGGAGACTTTTCCACGGTAACATGGGTCATAACTGCAGCTGCCTGGGCCCTGGGAACTGTGAAAAATATCGATGGATGGTACTTCCCATTCATCTCTTTTTCTTACACTTAAGTCTCTCTACCATTTAAGATCTATAAAGCCCCACCAATCTCAGATGAGTGATTCTCAGACTCGCTGAACATATCATTGAAAACACTTTATAACCCCAGAGAGCAACAGGTGGAGAAGTTAATTTAAAGCATGTTATGAAACACTAGAGACTCAACAACATGTACAGCTTAAATGGAGTTCTTATTTCAGTCAGGGAAAGCTCCTCTTCTACTCTCAAAAATATTATAACAAGCAAACAACAAAAACCTAACATATGAAAGGGACACCCTGACATCTTGTTGTTGATTAAATAGTTCAGTAAATTTTTCTGTGAGACAGTATTTATTTGAAAAGAAGGCAGCATTTGTGTTCTTCCTCTGAAACCTGTTTCACACTTCTTCACATAAATGATTATATATACATAACAAAACCCTAGTTTATACCTTGATAATTGTAGAGTACAAAGGTTGGTTCGGGGAAATAACCACTTAATTAGAATTGGAGACGTCAATTTGACAGACTTTTACCCGAGCACGGAATTTAGTTGTTTTGAGTGTAAATCCAAGCAGTTACTAGATGAAAACATAAAATTGCACCTCAGAGGTTCTAACTAGAAGTAGATTACTGTGCCATAAATAGGAAATTTATGCTAACTCATTCTAGATTCTTCCAGATATAAACTAGTTGTGTTTGGGTTTGGTTTTTGTCTTTTCCAAACCTCGTCCCTATTTTGAAGTTTTTGTGAAGAATGTGAAAATAGAACAGTGGTCCTTCAAACTTTATAAAATGAATTTGCCTGCACCTGATTGCATTGAAACAGCAGTTGTGCTGCTTTCAAGCTCCTCTGCCATTCTCACCGGTCTGTAATGAAATCATGACTGTGCATCTGATAGCATCAATAATGTTCCTCTGATTAGGTTCACATGGCTGTTAACCAAGCCCCCAGCAACTCTGCCTCCCATCATTTCTTCACAGTGTTAAGTCCAAAAGTGCTGGGCATTGCCATCGCTCGGTATGACTTCTGTGCAAGAGACATGCGAGAACTGTCCTTGCTGAAAGGAGACGTGGTGAAGATTTACACAAAGATGAGTGCGAATGGCTGGTGGAGAGGCGAGGTGAACGGCAGGGTAAGTTGTCCCTCTCAGCGTGCCTGTGCCCCAGACCAAAGGGGACTGAGCAGTCATCGGCACCTGCTGTGTTGTAGTCTGTACCATAGAACCCTGGGCTCCAGAAGCTGGTGTTCTATCCTGCTAGGAATAGGCACTCACAGAAAAAAAGGGAGTTGAATATTGTAGAAGCATAAATAAAGTTTACTTCAGCAAATTTCATAACTTCTGTTTGAGAAGAGTTGAGAAGCATTTGAGTTCTTTTTAGAACCTGAGCTGTAGAGCACACACTTTATGGGTAGTGCCAAACATCTCTCGGAGCTGCTGGTCCCAATTGGAAAGAATGGGATGAGGTACCTCTGTTTTTACATCCTATTCTACAGCAGAAATAGGAATTATTATGTAGTTGAGACCCACATTACACTTAATTTACATATTTATTTGTGTGCTAGCGGAGTGGAACACTATTTAAGCTTATTTTATTCCTCCATTCTATCATTCACTCTATTAAGCTTTTAAGAGCAGTTAAACCTCTCTTCTTCACCTACAGCAGGCATAAAACCCCAGCTTAATTGGGGTGTTATGAAAACAAAATGCTCTGTTTGTAGAATCCTTTGAAGTACCAGATGCAAAATCATGTTGCTATGTTGGTTGCCTTTCTTTTTCAGGTGGGCTGGTTTCCATCCACATATGTGGAAGAGGATGAATAAATTCCAATCCAGCATTGCACCCTGCACCAGAAATCTCAGAGAACGAATAAACAGAGCCTGCACAGCATTATGAATTACCTGAAGTGTTTAAAAGCTGCATTTCTGGCTGTTCAACGTCCTCCCTCCTTTTCCCCGACTAAGTCTTAATGCTGGTATTTCTAAAGATGCTGGTACTGACAGATTAATGGCTTGCCTAAAGCCATGCAAGAAAAAGCCTGCCTGCCTGTCTATTGTCAGGGACCAGGGCAAGGCCAAAAGCTTTTCTTCCCAAAAGATTCCTGCAAACACATTCTCATTCAGGTTTATCTTTTACCTCCATCAGGTCAGGTACCCTAGATGCAAGCCACAAGTAAGTGCATAGTTTCTTTATTTTCATGTGCTAGTCACCAGAATTTCTGGTGGTACAAGAAGCAGAGATTTAATTCTGCTTTTCCTAGCATGAAAAAAAAAAAAAAAAGAAAATTTCCATTTGGGAAAGATCCAGCTTACTGAAAAGATCCAGCGTTACCTGTCGTAATTGTCCAACAGGTGACTCATTGCCCAGCAAACAATTTTACCCTCAGATGTTAGCCATGATAAAATATAAAAGTGACATGCTGAGGTTTGCATCATAAGTGAGATATTCCAGAAAGGTTTCAATTACTCATTTGATGTTCTGATTATGTTTGCATGCCCCCTTTTTATAAAGAGGGGGTCAAAGCACATGAGAGAGAATTGTTTTCATATGAAATTTCACAGCCTTCATGATTCCGTAGGGTTATTTTGGAAATGCGCTACTTGATGAAATAATCCTGGCCAGGTATATTATGGGTCATTTCCCATAACTGAGTAAGGTGGCATTGTTTACGGAAGCAGATCGAGGGCTCTAATCTGTAGTAAATAATTTTATAGCAGCAGTATCTATTAACATTAGCCTTTCCTTCCTCCCGGATAGACCTGGAACATATTGTTGAATCCTGTATTTTCTTGGAGTATCTGCCTCAGCACAAACAAGTTTTTTGAGGATTTGGGAAAGAAAGCACATCTGGGTCCTTTATGCATTTCAGGGACAAAAATGGGGTCACAGGGCCTCTGTGGACTTGTGACTTTTCTGAGTCTTCCTTTTTGCAGGCCTTTCTAGGCATGTGTTACCTAGCAGAAGATGGGTTTTGCAGTACCTTAATTTTATGAAGTCTTCGTATTTTTATGTGAGGATCTAAATATATTCTTCCTGGAATGCCCAGAGTCTCCAGTTCATGCTGTCAAGACACTAACTTGGCCCCTTCCTGATGAAATATTTCCTCCACAGTGGGAGTGCTATTCTGAAAAGATGCAGAAAGTGTTTTATGTTTGGGACAAACAAAAATTTGAAGCGTTAACTTCATAGAGGCAAACTAGGAACACTCAGTTCTGAAATTTTGGATCATCTCAGAAATGTGGTGGCTATACCTGCCCTCTTCCCAGCACACTTGGGTGTCAGAACATAATGTCCAGTGGTCACACACTCCCTGCTAGAGACCCTCGTGGGATAGGACTCCTCATCTACAGTAGATTCAAGACCTTTACCTCAGAATTATGTAAACTGTGATTGTCTTTCAGAAAAATTGCTATAATTAGTTACATTTTTGTATATGTGTAAATGACCATGAAAATTATTTTATAAAATGTTCTGTACAGTAGAGTTACACCGAGGTGAACTGTTGGAGTGGATTCCTTCCTGTAAAGTCATATCTGTGACTGTGTCTTGGGAATATTTGTGTGTTACTGTCAGCCAAGTGTTGTTACAGAGTGCAGCTTCACACAAACTGAAGCTCTCCTTTGTATAGTATTGTGGCCTGTATTGTTTATTTCGGTCACTAGACTTTCACATTGCGTTCCATTGGCCTGGAGGTTTCATAGCAGAACATATTAGATCCGTTTTCATGACATTACCAGTTACATCTTTGTCTATGTTCAATACTTTGTATTGCAAACTTTAAATGCTGCGGATTTGTGTAGATTTCTAATACCAAAGACAGAAGTAAATGTTTTTCATATACTTTGTCTTGCCTGTATGCAGCCCTTATGTAATATGGTGAATTAGAATGATGTTGTACTTTGTAATATTTTGTAAATATGTCAATACAATAAACAGTTACTACTTGCATTAAGTTGATTCTTTTTAAGAGTTAAAAAAAAGTCTTTCCAGTGAATGATCCCGTAATTCACATATGCCAACTTTCATATTAACATGGAAATACAAGCCATATTTTGGTTGGATGTTGCTCAGGATAGCTAAATTATGGACAGTGAAATTTAAGGTAAACTCAGTACTTGCCAATAGTATCTACTGACAGCTTATAGCATGCCAAACTTGTTCTCATGTGTACTTTCAGTGACCCCAGAAGGTAGAATCTCAGTTCACTTCTCTTTTCACGAGAGGACTCATCAAAGAGATTCATCAAGAAGTTCCAGCTTGCCTGAGGTCACATGGCTGGACAATGTCAGAGCCAGGTTTTGACTTGAGCAGTTTGGCTCTGGAGCCTGCATAACCACTACTCTATCCTGCTACACTTTATATGACAAGAGAAAGATTAGATGCATTTTTAAGTATACATAGCCATGAAATTCTCTGATACTGAATAGTGGTTTCATTTAAAATGAGTAAAGATGAACAGAATTTAAAACTGCTATAATTCACTATTCCTTCACAGCCCCAGCAGACATTGGCTAAAGAAATTGATGAGATTAAACTTTTTTGGCCCATTTTCATTTGACTTTTGCACTAAGAAATCATGCCCACTAAGCCAGGAAGACCAGGAGTCAAGCTTCTGTTGGCAGAGCAGGCCAGCTGATTCTGTGTTGCAGGAAGAGAATGAATGCACATTCCTTTTAAGGATCAGGACAAGCCCTGACCACAGTTAGTAACAGTTAGTACTTTCTCCTTTATATCACCAGCACGCCATGCTCAGCAGTAGCCAATTCTCCATTTTTCATTATACTACAGTGTGTAGAGCAGTGTTCACTCTATTTGAGGAGCCAGTTTTTTGGTTTTTTTTGTTTTTTTTTTTTGGCACCAGGGATTGAACTCGGGACCTTGCACTTGCAAGGCAGCTGATGGAACCACTGAACTACATCCCTGGCCCTGAGGGTCCAATTCTAATGGTGTTTTTATCATTTCTCTTCCAGACATTTTTATATGACTTTTCTAGACTTTATATCAGATAATCACCATTCTTATCAACCACATCATCAGCTGAGAACTGCCTGACTTGTCAGTTAACATAAGAACACAGCATTCAACTATTTTGTCTTCCATTGTGATTGGTTTATGTTTATAGTTAGTCCTTAGGTGCCCTGCTTTGTTGTCCTAAACTTTGCTGGACATAGAGTGAAGAAAGCATGGCCCCAGCAGTCAGACTGACTGACTGGGTTCACATCTCACCCCCACCAGGCAGAGCCTCAGCCTGTCAGTATGATCGTCACACCCACTTCACAGCACGGAGGAGACTCATCTGAGAGAGATAATAGAATGGGTTGTGTTTGGAGTAAACAGCTCCGGCTGCTCATTGCCATCACTGGCATTATCAGACAGATTTGATGAGGACATTGGGTAGTTGCCATCTTAATTTTTTAATTTCTTGAGCTTAATTCAAGCTTATTAAGGTGAAGAGCTGCAGATTCTAAATTAGCCTGTTTAGAAAGGGAATTAAATAAATTGGTGTTACAGGAAGAGTTTCAGCATCAGTCAGACCCAGGTTCAAACTCTACTCTGCCATTATCTTTTCTGATCATCAATTTCCTCTTATGTAATAAAGGAAAAATTACAAGTTCTGGAGAGACCTATTATGAAGAATGAACAACATGAAAAGTGCACCTGTACAGAGTCCAGTGCATAGTAGTACCTCAAAAAAGTTGGTCTCCCTTTATGAACTGTCAATATGTACTCCGGTACCAGATAATACACTTACAGTCTTTATTTTGAATACAATAGAGAGATTATGCTTTATTTCTTACCCATGGTTTTAATTTTCAGCATTCAAATTATATACAGAGTAAAAGACATATATTCAGGAAAATTAATATGTAAACTCACAATCTCAGAAGTTGAATTCAACAGCTCCACATGATTTTAAGTAGGAAAATGGACTTTTTACTTGGCTCAAAATTATTTAGACTTAGTCCATTAGTCACTTCATTTTTCACTGAAACTGGTTTTCTGGGATTGCTTGGACTCTGATTAGAAATGTTATGCACCTGTCTGGTCTGGCAGACTTTGGAAGGCACCTAATTTTAAGTAATGAACATGTTCCAGGATGAAGGTTATAAAGGAATCTTCTCTCACAAAACGTGCCATTCTTTAGACCACACTGAGGAAAACAGTGAAAGAGAAAAAAAACAAAAAAACTTCTTTTGAAGCACTCTGACTCTGTCAGAAACTTCCAGAATTTCTAGGCACAGAGTGACTACAAACTGTCCTAGGCACATAGCCACATGGTGAGAGGCTTGTTGCCAAAATAGAATGAATATAGAAGTGACTTCATGCCCATCCTCTCAAACTCTCAAATAAGAAGAGTGTGAACTTTAGCATGGCTGAGTGTCCAAACCCTGATCTAGTTTGCTCAAGGTAGTGATGGAAAACACTGGCAAAATAAAGATTCACACCCAGGTGTCCTGGTTTCAAGTCAAATGCACTTTACATTTCTCCACGATAGTTTCTGATTTTCTAGCTATTCCTGCTTCATAAAGCTTTTCTTCTGCAAATCATTCTGGGGATCTGCTAGTGTCCTAGTTCAGGTGGAAATGTGGCAAAGTCACCATCCTTGCCCCTCTTGCTGTCGGCAGGTGTCAATGAGTTTGACACGTCAGTGGACCTGATACTGACTCATGAGTCTAATCAGGGAATGCATGTGGATTTTCTAGTGATCTCAGTGACTTCGAGACAGAAAAGATTGATATTTGATTTTTTGAGTCTCACTCCATGATAATTTTATGTCTCCTCTTTTCACTTGTAAATTCTTTTTTTTTTTTTTTTCTGTATTTGTATATGCCAGAGAATATGCTAGGTGCTTGTTGTAAATCATCTCATTTATCTCATGCAATCCTTCTAGGAATCCATCAGAGATTGACAGCTCTTATTTTAATCATAAAAATTCTAGACCTACTTAAATAATGTTTCCACATGGGGACTGGCTTTTAAGGCTTTTTGACCTATTCGATTCTTCTGTACGACCTGTCTCTTGGTCTAGGTTGCAGCATAAACCAGTGGTTAGAGGTTCAGCTTTAGAACCAATTTATCTGGCTCTGCTGCTTTCTAGCTGCCTGACCTCGGGAATGTTGCTTACCCTGTTTGTTCTTCTGCTTATCCAAAGTTAAAATGGGATAATGATTGCACCTTAATGTAGAGGGTTTTTTTTTTCTTTGAAGGATTAGATGAAATAATATATTAAATGTTTAGAAAATGCCTGGCAGACAGCAGACAGTGAGAAAGAGTTTTTTAAATTGTGTTTTGGTCACCAGTTTAGATATACACACAATAATAAAAGCTGCGATTTTAGAAAGTTAACTTAGATATTAAAAACTTCCTTTGGATGTATATTACATCTTGAGTTAACTTTTTACATTAGTAATGCTTTTAAAATTATACATAAGTGGGGTATAAATGTCCTATCAGAACATGGTGTATCAGTTACCTACTGCTGCATAACAGCTATCTGCAAAACTTCACAACTGAGGAAAACAAACATCTATTATTGCCCGGTTTCTGTGGGTGAGGAATCATCATGGAGTAGTTCAGCTGGGCATTTTCAGCCAGGGTTTCCCAAGAGGCTTCAGCCAGGTGTCAGCAAGAACTTTGGTTTTCTCCATGCTCAAGGAGGGAAGAATCTCGTCCCAAATTTCCTCCTGTGGACTCTCCACGTGGCTGCCTCACGACATGGCAGCTGGCTTCTCCCAAAATAAGCCTCTAAGAGTAAAAGAGCAAGAGCACTCAAGATCCAAGTTCATCCTTTTTTAACATTCTCAGAAGTGACATTCTTTCGCGTCTGCTCTGCCCTGTTGCTCAGATTTAAGTAACTGAATCCAGCTGCCTCGCAAGGGGAAGAGATTACACAGGAAAAAAATCAAGACAAAGGGCCCGTTAGGGCCGTCCCAGTGGTTGCTGACCACAGAGGAGTAAATTGGAAGGTTATGGCAGCCAGACATTAGGCTTTTCTGAAAGACATAGATTACTCTGGAGAAATTTAGTGGAGTCTAACATTTAATTTGTTGAAAAAAATTTTTTGCTGGTTATACCTTAAATGTGTGTTTTCTGAATACCTACCAAGTACCAAAATCTACCAGAGATATAGGATGAACAAGAAAAGTGTGTCTCAGGAGAACTCACTTCGTGTCCTTTCTCATTTAGGACATACCCTTTCCAGAAGCTCCCATGTTAGGAGAGGGATGCAGGGAAAGGCGGAGGAGAGTTTCCCAAGATATACGAAGAGGGCCCAATTTCACGGTAACACAGGAAAGAGTGGACATAGCAACAACTAGCCATACCTAGAAAGTAGCTCTTGAGTAAAACCCTACATTGTCCAAGAGTCCTGCAAATCTTTTACTTATCCATGTATTAATTAATTAATTCAACAAATATGTTGTGAACTTCTACAAACTCCACAGTTCCAAGCTTTGAGGATACAACAGACCTGACCTAACTCCTGTGTTTGAGGAACTGCGTTTGTAGATGACAACAAGCAATAAACAAATTCATAGTGTTAAGTACTAGTAGGTGCTACTGAGGAGGAAAAAACCCCAAGTAAGTGAAGAAAATGTCATCTGATATAGGGTAATCAAGGAAGGCTTCGTCAGGAAATGATTTTTGAACACGAATTTGATTTAAATGAGAAAGGAAAAAAATGGATAAATATATCTCAACGCTTAGTGTTTCCGGCACACTAAGGGCCCGGGTGGTTGGAGAAGGCAAGAAGGAGCAGAGTGACATATGTCAGAGGGCTTCCTGGGGGCCGCCAGCAGCAGTAGGTCTCGTGGGCCTGGAAAGGAGAGC